AAACGCAAACCTTTTATTTTAGGCAGTGCACCAAACTTTTTATTGATCATGACTACTTTTCGACAGGGCTGTTTACAGAGGAAATTTTGAGTATACTTGGGTCGCCCGTTGGCGTAATTAGGTACTGGCAATCTCCAGTACTGAGTAGTTTGCGGTCATTATGTGACTATAATTTGTGATTTATCAGAAGAGTGGGACAAGACAGAACCTGAAGCTGACAGTACCTTTCCGTGGTAGTAATGAACCGACCGGTTGTTGTGTTTATCAGTGACCCTTGATCAACACAATGTCGGATCAAACCACCCCATCCGTGTCGGTATTTTCATCTCCGGAAGTAATTTAACGACACGGTACATGAAGCTTATTCTTTATGTTTGACTGAACTTTTCTTAGGATAGCGAAAATTACACAATCATGTGCTCAATGACCTCTGAGTATTTCCAGCCCCCTGTGAGCAGCAGAACTGGAAAGGAGGCTAGAAAACCTATAAAGTGTTTACTGTATACTTTAGCTTTTAATAAGTGATTGTGTTAGCAATATGAAGTTTAAAATATTAGTTTGGAAGTCCATGTTAACTCATAGTGCATGGTAAAAAAGGACGGAACAGGTCCTCCATTCCTATTGGGAGTTTTAAGACTAATAGAGTTTGAACCAGCAACTTCCGAGTAGCAGCTGGTTAACATACTCTGGAATTCTTCGTTGGTGACATTCAATTTGTTTAAATCACACTGATGTACAACTAATCACCTTCCGTACTGGTTCGGTCCTGGAACATCGTTTGAGAAAATAAAAACCTTTCATTTATTAGTTCACATCAGAACTCAGGTTCAACCACGCAGTACTTAATAAGTCCCCTATGATGATTCGGGTATAGGGGCTCATTCATCTATGGGTGACATGATTTTTAAGTAACCACATACTTCATTCATAACAGTTTGAAGCGGCGATAAATATTTCGAAGATTTCACTCTTTGAGTGCACAATCCCAATCAGACCTGTTTTGGCGTTAAATTCCCGATGGATTTTATCCAGAAATCTTTTTACATTGATAGTTAGTTCAGAATTTCTGAAGAAGATACTTCTTTCAAATAATCTGCTTCACACTTCGAGAAATACATTCATTTGCAAATCAATTTGGTTTTAAGGAGAGACAACTGAATCTTGTTTATGATGTCCTTCAGGCCGCCTCGTGTTTCAGTCGCCAGCAGATTTCAAATATCGCCATACATGTATATATTTCTATTGTGAAGTAATTCACATAAGTTTGCTGAAAATCCATCCACAGCCCATGACCGGTTTCGCGCTTGTTCGGGCTCATCAGGTAGGCGCAGTCCCCGGGTTTCCGTCAACCTCGGGGACTGCGCCTACCTGATGAGCCCCAAGAAGGGCGAAACCGGTCGTGGACTGTCATAGAGTTTTCAGCAACTTTGTGAGTAGTCTGCTTCACACTTATTTGAATAGCAAAGTTAGATGACAATAAAAGATGGATTTACATTTAACTGTTTTAAGACACGATGAGGATAATTCGTCATTGACCAGAAAACTCAAAAAGTTCAGGAGTGAGTGAAGACCGCTGCATGACTTGAAAGCTCCCGCTAATTTGCAGCATTATTGTTCTCGAAAAAGGGATGACTTATTCGAAGGATGCTTTGTATCTGAAGCGTCGATAACTTGCGTTCAGCGTGTTTTTTATCGTGGTCTGTATGAAGTGTGTCAGACAGATAGCGGATCAACATCAGCTCTGCCGTGTGCGTTAAATTACATCTTCAGCAACCACCTTTGAAGACAAAAGCGATAGTCTACCATGGAGCCCATTCCGTTCCACGCAATAACCCCTCAGGTGACGGTTCTCAGTACCGGACATTTTCGTTCTAGCCTTAGATACTTCCACCTTTTGTGCCTATAACTGAGACGCGAATTTTTTACTTGCTTTGTTATTACCACTCCTAGTACCTCTATCGTATTATGATGTTACCTTTTGATGTAAACTGTGATTTCTTTAGTTGGAGTAGGTATCCTAATTTTTGAAAGCGGCTGATCTATTCAGATATTATGACTGCCTGACTTGTTTTATTGTGAACCGAAGCCTCCCTGTGATGGACGTGTGATCCGACCACTCACTCGTACCAATATCCGGCGTGAAATTGTTGAAATGAATGAGGATTCATAATGAAATAAAATAAGCGTTGGTTGGATAAAGCAACGAGTGATTAACAGCGATTAACAGTGATTAAGAGCCTTAACTTTGCATTCAGGCGAGCACATCTAATATTCTCTGTCTTCCGCTAGGCACAAGACTGCCTAAGATGGTTATCATTTATATCCAGCAAACTTAATGTTTAGGGAAACTGCGTGTGATGTGGAGTGACTTTAATACGCCTTGAATCATTCGTGTGTTTTCTATAGAGGAGCTCAGGTTGCATAGATGGTCGGTGAGTTGGGCAATTTGATTGCATGCGACGACCATCATTCTTTTGTGATCAGTTTTGTTGAGAAGAGTGCATACGTGTTTTAGATGACATATTGACGCTTTCTCTACATGATGTGGGGTATTCGGGAGAAATAACTCATCCTTGATAGATGAACTGATCACACTGCCTGGGTTGCACTGGCTTGGCCACATGCTGCGTACGCCAGTCGACTGACTTCCCCGAAGGACTCTTTTCGCACAGCCACGTGAAGGGTGGAGTAGAGCCAAAGGTAGTCGACCAATGACTTGGAAACGAAGTATAAAAGCCATTACCAGAAAACTCAGCTGCGCTGGCCATTGCCGTCTTCCTGGATGGGGGATTCCGAGACACTGTAAGACATGGCGCAGTCGCGCCCTCAATAGCGCCCACGCGTACGAGCTATTGCCTTCAATGCATCGCTTCCTTCCTAACCACCCCACTTGACAGTCCACCTAGAGTGCTGTATTTACGAACTAATTTATCAGCTCCCGCCTCCAGTGTGTAGCTTCCTCCCCATCTCCCCGAGGAATCGGTGAACGAAACTGTGGCAGCCAGAACCACTGTACGACAAGACGCGTTTATTACAGTGATGATGATGATGATGATGATGATGATGATGATTCGAACAGTGCAATTCACGGCGATAACTTATCGATCGCTAATGGCGTATCTTTAGAAGCAACCATCTCGTCATAATCGTCATATTTTTGCTTGAAGGGGTCATTTCAATCAAACTGGAGCAAATTCGTTGTCAGATCAATCGGCCGGTTGTTCTCAATTTTTTCTTTTGCAGGGGTTCATTCTTGATGAAAAGAGATGCGTTTTTGTACCGCTTCCCAAACTGTTTGCCATTTCAGTGAATTCTCTGACTCCTTGGATATATAAGCTCTAAAGATTCTTGGTCGTAGAAGAATGCTTTTGAATTACATTGGCATTCTTTGAGCCCTGTATTTTTGTAACTTTGTTCAGGTTTAGATGTACAACGAAGAGTCTGAATACATCCTCACAACTAGTGCAGTTTTCCACGCTCACCCTTCTAGGTCATTTTTCTCATCAAGTTTATCATGGAGTGCAGAACTTAAGCGATCACGAATTCAGGTAGAAAAATCACGTCTGGAGAGATTGTAACAAATTTGGATCATTCAAATGACATTCTTTCATTATCTGACAGTTGCTTTTCTGCGCAAACAGCACTTAATGTTGAAGGTAGTTCCATGTATCGGCTTTGCACCTTTCAAGTGCAAGCCTCTACTTCAGGATTAACTATTCTCGCATACTTTTCTAACGGTTCAGAATGACGAACTTGAGTTCGTTTAGCGATCCAATTATCGTGACATCAACACAGGTCGTGATTCTACAAAACGTATAAAGCTACTGCACGGATGGTCGCGACGCAGGTATCGCCCACTAAGCTGCGTCATTAATAGCTTTAGAAACAAATTCCACTGAAACTTAAAGGTCATATATATAAGGCGGCTGTAAGAGCGATATCGCTCTACGGTTGCGAGAATTGGCCTCATTATCTTGAGTCCTTAGACGTTTTCAGACTTCCGATCAGAATGGCAAGAGTCAGCTGGCTTAAAGGAGTATGTAGCGAATGGAGGCTTTAGCGAATGCTTAATAATTAGTCAGAAGGATTATATCAGCAGGTCAAATTTACTTGACTCGTTGCGGCATATATTACGTATGTGTAAGCAGTGTCTACCTGTGAGAGTGATGTTTTCGGTTCAATTGACTGTGGGTGAAGTTTACGCTAGAGAAAGGCCATGACATGGCAACGCAAAATGAAGACGCTTTCAGTGAAACCTAGTATAGTGGGATCTTCGCTTCTCCCTGACTGTGACCCATGTAATCCTATTTCTACCCGGCTGAAAACCCTGCAGGACATTCCACGCAACCGACTCCATTGGCGCGCATGGTTTCTTTTCCTAGCCGGACTGCCTAGCTAAAGTTTGTCTTTTATTGTGAGTTGGGTTAATGTCGAGTGAAGTTCACGAAGGGCGCTAGATCAATCCCGGCGATGGCGTCTTAATCCCACATAAAGCTCAAACGTGTTTCTTTTTTATGCCATCTAGAGTTTCAGGAACTTTATTCTTCAGCGTCCTCCCCAAAGACACAGGACTTTTTTCTTATACCATACTCATCCGTTCCCTCTCCCCTAGATAGTACTTTCCTCCTTCATGGTTGTATGGCAGCTAAGCGTCAATGTGTATTGTTGGTGTACTGCTGTCGAAGGTGATGGTGTGGTCCCAAGAACTCAGGATGGTTAGAAGAATCATTTTGCCTTGAAGTCAGAGAACTTTCATTCTTATCTCATGTGCAGTCTACCTTCATGCTACTGAGATCCATCTGTATTTTATGTTGGAAACATGGGCTCAGAAGTCGACAAACCTAAGCCTCTTGTGGAGAATGACAACTACTTGGTTTGCGAAGTGGTCTACGTTAAACATTTTCTGCATCATAATGCTACACTTTAGTAATACCCAATTAGGGTACATAGTTTTTCCTAATAATTGAATTCGACATTTGCATTTATTCTGGTTGCAACAGTCTAACGCACTACTCACGCCCATTGACTCCGAATTACCATCGTCCGACTGTCACCAGTGCACTCCGATGCCGCTGTCCAGATAATCCTGAAAGGCTGTACACTCCCCTAGAATCAACATATCGTGAAGTACGAAGCAAGAGTCCTTCGGTGAGATCAGTGAGTGAGAGTTGCATGCGCATATACGCTATCCATGTTCATTATCCACAGATATTTTGCTTTGTTTTTTAAAGCTTCTGCAACTTGACAGCCAAACATTCTTGATCCTGTATATATATCCTCCTATCTTCCTATTACAAACCATCTTAAAAGTGACAGAATCTGATGGGCCTCTAATTTTCATTTTGGAAGAGACTGACTAAGGTTGCCTCTCTCAGTTGATTCTTCCGGAGAGGAAGGGAATACATCGTTTGGTGGTAGCTGCTCCTTCGTCGGAGTGAATGGTCCGTGTCATGGAACGACTGGGAAGTATATGGTGTAGGGACGAGTCTTTACTTCCACCACTTTAATGACAGTCCAGGAACATCAGTCTTATTACAGTACTCCCTGCACATGGAAGCCACCCTTGTAACGGCTATTAATGCAAGGAGGCAACTTTTTAACCTGCATGTTTCACTATCAAAACGGCCACGAGAAAACATTTTTAAGCCTTGTGATCATAATTTTTTGGTCAACGCAACTTTCGTCTTCGGAATGGTAAGCTTGCTTCATCTTCCATAGCAGGAAGCAAAGTATGAGGTTCGTAGAAATGCAACTTTATGGAAATATGCCCATGGTTGCACAACGTTTAACGATGTGTGACGGCCAAATTGACCCTATAACCTGATTTAACTAGGGTTGAGGTGATGATATCTTGGACTAATTTAGATTCATACCTTATCAATGGTGTCGTAGCAAAGGTGATTAACTTATCCGCGGCCGTACTGTCGTAAGAGAGACAGGACAATTTTAGTTCAGGTCGTTACAGAGGAGATGTTGCAGTCTGTCCAATAGAAGTTATCTCAAATTTGTCTTAGGTTCCTATATGTGCTGTCTTAGCATATTTACCTGCATCGGCCTCATGGGCCTTTGTTTTGATCGATTCAACCTGACGATAGGTTCATTCAGCAACTGTGCCCATGACGGGGATTTGTTCCGGTGAATCAAGAAAGTTGCCGCTATCGAAGCCTTTGAGGCCTCCATTTAGCACGGACCAACAATAGTTTGTTCGTACATAAAGCAATTTGCCATTGCATCAAACCACTGAAGCTGGTGACCATTGTTTAGACACATTATCATGTGATCATTAGTGGCGGCGGAGTCTTATTTTCAGACGTATTGGCATCCTCAAGCCTTTAAGCAAATTATGTACTGAGTTACCGAAAAAAGCCCCTACTTCTGGAGGATGGTGGCTTTCTCAGGTGTGTTAAGGATTACTAGGCTCGCTAGCTTTTGAAAAACATTTGGTGGTAGGAAGACAAGGATCCAGGTATCGTATCGCCATTTAGTAGTGTCAGCATGTTCCAAGTGGCGCTCCTTTTGTGACCAGTTCTCCAACACGATCCTATTTCTATTTGTTTCTGGAAAAAACGTTGTAGTTCAAGTTGAAGCAAGGTGCATTTAGATTGCGGCACGTTTCTTACTTCATTGGCGATTATAGTTTTATCTGGATAACCCTAGTGAGCCTAGGGCTACTGCTAAGCGGGACGTCGGTGCTGTTCCCTAGTTTTTCGATAGCTTGTCCAGGCTTGCACAGCTCCGTAAAGTCTCAAAGATCCCTTCCACTTTCACGGGAGTATTGTACTGAATAGGAACCACTGTTCAGCAATATTTTATATTCAAAATATCCTCGGGATGGTTCTACCAGCTATCCAATAGTTTTATTATGTAACCATTGACATGGCTTTTCTTTAGAAAGGAATCATGTAAGAGAAGATGAACACGAAGTTCACAGGCTGTATCTACGAAACACTCGGCTTCGACTTTTGGCTTCCTAAATACCGTGGTGGAAACACTCTGGTGAAACATCTATCAAAATATGATATGGACTAAAATATACCCATAGTTTGTTACACTAGTGAGAGTCAGGCTAGGAATTTTACATGACTTTTCCATGAATTAGGCATCCAATTGGTTTCTCTCGAACAGGCTTTCATAAAAACCAGTGTTCGGCCACAATGGGTATAGAGCCTAACAATGTGATACACAAAGGACCGGCCTTACTGTTTTTCTATTGTATGGACGATACGGACATGGAAAATTTTACTCCACCAACATCGTTTTTCGTGTCGTACGGGTTGTAACAGAAAGCGTCGACTTGGAAGCAACAGAATTTTTCTGGATTATTATGGTGCCTGATCAAACTGGCAAACGGCCTGGATTTTAAAGAAGTGTCGTTTTCGTGCTACTATCTAGCACGGATTTAGGAGAGCAACGAGGTCTTTGGTAAGTAAGAGGAAAAAGTAATTTATCGTCAAGTTTTATCAGTGTAATTCAAGTGACAATTAAATAGGGACTGGGTGTAAGTCATTTTTCAACGGGATGTTGGCTTACTCGCACAGTCTAGATTCTCTACACCCACCGGATAGAACAGAACTTGGACTGAGTGTTTCACTCTACGACTGTCTTCTTAAGAATCGGGGAAATAGGCTAGTCACTGAATAACTGTTTTGAACCTAGCATGTGCTTTACGGTCAAATTAACAAGCATAATATATATAGAACGTCGCCAAACTGTTAATGCCCAAAGTGGGGCATTTAAGGTTTACCGTAACGTCGGATATGCTTTGAAGTGCATTGGCATATCATTGACCAATTACTGCTATTTAGCGAGGATAGATTAGTTAATGAGAATAAAATACACTTAGTCCCCCTCATGTGCTACCAGCACAACTATCCTCAACCTTCAATTTTACTGCCCAACATTTATGATCAGACTCGTCTATGGAAAACGTCGGTCAGCAATGTTTTTTCTCTTTTTTTTCAGCGCACTGGTTCACACAAGCAGAAGGCAAGGCCAAGCTCAGAGAAACCCTGTAAGTGATATTTCCACTATCTATTAATATGAACTTGAAAATTACCTAATGCTAGATAGCTGCTGCCGACATTATCAAGTAATGATTGTTGGACACTGTAGTCAACGGCTGTAAGATGCAGTATCCATTAATAACCAGATTACATCAAGATTGATGAACGTTTGATGTTGGGTAAAAATAGACAGTAGAAGACGTCCAATTCATGTGATATCTTGGCTTAGCACATGCACTTAATCATCAAGAAAGCCGGCCGATTGTAGGCAGCCTGGTGGTTGTGACTCACTGAACCCTATAAGCTTAAATTTAGTAATGTGGCTTTCGGACAAAATATGCGTGTATTGAACAAGCGAAAGTATGGAGTGTACTTCAGGTAGAAGTGTAGGCCTTAGGTCAAATTACCATGTAATCAATCTTGTCACATCCATTTATTGAACCGCACATCTCATTGGCCCCGTAGTATCGGACCAAAGGTTTCAACTGCTTGGTGTTCAATTAAGTGTCCACAAGGTTAGTGAAAAGTCGGGAGTGATCATTTAGTGTTTCATAAATTCTAAGCCCCCTTGATCTTGTACGGACAACAACACGAAACAACAGCGTGCAACTATGGTCCCGCGACCTCATAATCGACATCGGAAGCCAATAACCCCGTACACCCACTCATTTGCCACAGCTGTCATTATTTCTGTTATTATTATCCTATTCGACAGCATAGGCTGCTCATGATACTATAGCTTCCACAAAACTTTTGCAAAAGATCACAACTTACATTGAGCAAAATAGCTGTAATTTGGATTCAGCCCGAGGGGCGCAGTGGTTATTTCAACAACTCATACACGAGCCCCACATTAATTATCACTCCTATTCTGATAATGCGTAGGCGCGTTACGCAGACATTGAAGTAAGAGATAACTCTGTCGCATGGATTATTTACACCGGCGATTTGTTTTTTAGTGAATGAAAATCTTGTCAGTTTCCTACACAGTGCACTCTAGTAGGTCGTGATGACCCAACCAACGGGGTAGGATGGTTCATGATGACTGTTCCTTATCCATTATTCCAGGAATTTTCATTGAAATTCTTTTTCTATGAAACATGCAAACTTCTGAAGGGATCTTTCAGGTAGTTTTTAAGGAGTGTTCAGGAGAAGAATTGTCTAGGGACTATCTGCCAATTTTCCACATCGAGGGAGAAGCGAAATCCGTGGTAACATTTTTCGAAGGGTATACTCGTTTTTTTACTGATCATTTCTAATGTGAACGTGACATGAAGATGTATTGCCTTCTACTCACTTTGTTTTAGATGACGATTTGTACACAACGAGAATCCCCGTGCTGGTAAGTCATGCTTGAAAAGAAGTTTTCCATACGACATACAGTAAACGCTTGCACATCACAGTTGGAGTAGTGACTAATAATGAGACAGCCGTGTCTGCAAGAACCCGCTTTTTATTTTTTACTTACTGCTCTCGGACTGTCTGGCAGCATATAAACATTTGTGAGAGATGGTTCAGTGGTTAAGGGCAAATTTACGGACTGGAAGGTCTGACGTTCGAAACCGACCTTGGCCTCTCAACTTCCTTTGTCTAGGTTTGGGCAACCTGGCAGTATCCAAGCCGTCGTATTTCCTTCGAATGGTATGACAGTTAGGCCTCGCAAGGATACTACAGCTGGGCGGTTTTTTAATCAACATTTATTTTTCCGCGTCCCACCGTAAGCGCAGATTGAAACGGCATAAACACCAGACTGTTTCATTGACTTCGACTGTGCGAAGACAAACGAAAGTTGATTGTAGTTCCTGATCTACCCAGCTGTTGAACCGGTCAGACTCGACGTTTCCTAGGAATAAGAATGTAATAATTGATTTGTGCTGTTCAAACCCCGGAATAAGGGAATATTATCTAGTACTGATAAAAAAGAGCAACAAACTCCGTGGCGCATAATGTGCCTTAAGGATGTGAATTCCTGGAAACAGTTTCATGATGGAATCCTTAGTTGACAAAGTTCTCAAAGGCCCACTGGCTCTCGTGTTTTGAATGAACCACGACTTTTTGGTGTATCCTTTATCAGACTATAAATGACGGGTCTTTAACAGCGGACGTTGGCTATGCTAAATCTTTGCACCCGCAATGCCGGGGTACCGGAAATTCACTACGCCATTTGCTGGACATGCTCACCGACACTGTGGGACAGTGGTTACTGGTGCTGCTCGATCTGATTGTTTTTAACCTACAAACCTCTATGAGCTCTATAGTTTTTGTCTCTCTTAGTGTGCATCAATTAGTCCTACTCTAGGATTGACTTTTGAAGCCTGTCAGCCTTCGCCAATGTATACAGATCATTGTAGAAAACGGAATTGAACTAGAAATGAGTTGAAGACAACCCTATAGAATGAGGCTTAAATTTTCGTTCGGCCGCTGCGAGTTCAATCTGACTTCTAGATTCTATCTATCCATGCACAAATAAAAGGTTCGATAGGTTTTCCTCCAGGTTTCTATCTAGGTTTTGCATAACTGGAGGAACAGAAAGGCGTTTATACGTGTCCTTATCTGTCATTCATTTAGTAAGCCTCTCCAGCTCAAAGTTTCTGATGCTTAGGCATATCCTCAGTTCCTTTGTACAGATAGACCATTCTGAACGGTTTTCTGTACGGGGATGGGAAGGCTTCCTTGACAACCCTGTTCGACGAAGAAGCCGACACATGGAGGCTAGCATGCAACGGGTTTTGGGGCTGATGCGGATTCAATCATTTCATAACCTAATTGAGTAGCATTTTGCTGGATGAATTGTTTGCTGAGCCTAGCAGCTATGTTGTTCCCCCATTTCTGGTGACATCTCCAGTGTGTTATCCTGAAGCGGATTGGAGCCGTGCATTAATGGTATTTTATGCACCCTGTAACCCTATTCATGTATCCACCCGTAGTAAGCTCGTCGTCTACGACTTTGAAAGTTCACAGGCCAAACATCATATTATGTGGCCACAAGTAAGAACATCATAAAGTTGTTGCATTTATTATAACGACCGACTCATTATTTGGCGCTTGGTGCAATGCATCGTGCACCTTCGCAATAGTGGATACACATGACAAATGTTGAAAGGAAGCGATTACTGTCAGCTAATTTTCACTCTTCTTCATTCAGTCACACAAGTTCACGGTCGCGCCTAGTTGGGACTTGCGTGATAGAGTCATTCGGGATGCGCAGGATCGAAGGTTAGTAGTTTTACTGCTTTACCAAAATTATTAAGCTGTAACTTATCCGAAAAGTAGGGAGTTTGAAATGGATTAGTTCGAACTAGTGTAACGGCGTATCTTAGTTGTATTGGTGTTAGTTTAAAAATACATCAATTAGTTTCATTCTAGAATAATCTTAAAAAGTATTCAACCGATAGTTCAAACACAGATAATGTACACCTTTGTCAGTGATCCTCCTACTATTGCACGCCACACCTTTCTAGAATAATGTGACAGCTCCTGCCATCTCCCATTTCAGCGATCGCTACTGGAACTTGTATCGGTTCTGGCAACTTGAAGCCGACAGACGTCGGGCTCGTCATGTGTGAAGATGCCGAAAAAGATTCCCATCTTACAGTTACAACCAATCATATTAAAACAACTACACTTCTAAGTATTTTGCACACAATTATTTTACCATTTGTATCCCCTCAGGCACTATTGACAGATGAAAAACAGAGCCAGTCCTACCTCCAATGAAATTTAGTCTTACCTATTATCTCGATTGATATATTAACGTCGCATCAGCTCCAATTCATCGATAACTTTTTTCCCTTGAGTTTTAACATATGTGCCTTATTAAAACAGCCGTTTACTTTTCTACCTTGCTGAACATCCATGAAGATGTAATTTTCTTATGTAGAGCTTCTGGTTCAGTGTTAATATCCACGGTACAGTACAGCTGTGATATCTAGCACTTTTAAACGCATTATATTCCTTGAGTGACTGATAAACTATTTTTGTTGCCTATATCCATGTACTTTTTGCTCCGCATGCACCGAGATACTTCGGGACGGAAATACTGAATGGTTTATGAGGCAAACGGTTACCATGACAACTATATGTTGACACCTGATCATCTGGACTCTACAGCACTCGGGTTCTAAGTGTACAGCGTGCTTAGTTACGCCTTTCACTGGAGCGTTTTCTGGGTCTCATTCAGCCAGCAGATGAAGGTCACTGACTGTCTGAATTTGGCATTGTTTCTTTGTGGTCCGTTGTGGGGGGATACCGAGTTGTAAATCTTACGCCTTTCTGAAATAGAGTAGACAAATTTGGAGAACACATAACATTAGGCGACGTGATTCATCAAAGAGTCATTCGGAGCTTTTGTTTAGTAACTACCGACGCTTTATTTTGAGAAACAAATAGAATCTATTGAATTAGGAAGAAAACTTGGCCCCAGTGTGATACAGTCGTTCGAACAACATTATTACGCTTTTGATAGGACCATAGCCTATATTGTCCTGAGACAAGTGCAATTTTCCAGTAGTGACATTTATTTGGTTAATAGTGTATGGAAAAAGCATTTGGATGAAGACCAAGTTAGCTGAGAACAAGTGCGACAACAATTCGCCTGTAGCGAGTAAGGTTTCAGAAATGCATTACCGGAAGTGTAAGTCGAATGCACCTCCTTAGCTGGATTTACACATGCGCGTTACAGCGAAGCAAACCAGCGTTTATCGAATAGGCCGTTGTCTGAAAGAAAAGATGACTAGTGTTCACCATGTTATCCGTGACTTAATAAACATTGAAACATATCTGGACAACAACTACAGGATAGAGAGATAATCAGTTCTTGATATTCAGGCTCAGCACGTCTATGGCAGGCTTTCATGAGTTTAGGCAAACTCTGACTCAACGGTGAGTGATCCAAGTGATCACGAAATTTTTGTGCTCCAATCATGTAAAAGATGATCGTTCTGACAAGTATACTAGCATTAGGCAAATATAAGTCGCCGCTTTGTTTAGACACCCTTCGATTTGGATCGTACGAGGAAACGTAATGACTAGATTGAACAAAAAATTGCAAAGCAGTATTGATGTTTTAATTCTTTCGACCAATTTGATTGAACCTATCTAGAGGGTCCTGTGTAGCCGTGAAATATTTTCTGCATACCGGTTCGGTGCATCGATCATTAGAGGGCATTATACGTCTAAAATGCACACTGGGAGATAACTGCCGCTGAGATACATGTGTGAAGTATTCACTAACCTAACGCTAGAATTTCTGTAAACACTATGGAACCCACAGGGCACACCGAAAAGACCATAAAGTGAGTCCCGCGAGGCCGCAAACCTCCTTACGATAAGACAATATATTAGTACGTGGCGAGGGTTTATTTAGGAACTCTAAGTTATTCATATTGTTTAGTAAAAATGTAAGTTGATGTGTTCAAATTGTTGAAACCTTGGTGCAACTTATTTCTGGATGATAGAGAGATCTTGTAGTTTCAATGGAAACTTCATCTTGCAAATGGAGTCAGTCAATGCGGAATATCTAAGAATCCTCGGTTACCTTTATTGGGAATCATGAACACTGCGTCCTGCGACTCTCCGTTTAGTAGTTGCACACAATCATTCGGTCATCAGGAGAGGGTCAACTTTCTGGTTATTGGCCGTACTTTTTGGCACAGAGTCAAAACCAGGCTTTCCGGAGGGCAGGTTAAAATGTACCAGTAGCATACAGACAGATAAGCATGAGTGCAAAAAAGCGATGAGAACACTGCTAACGTATGGTATTGTATCGTACGTCCGCCACAACCACAAATGGTGTTTGACAGAAGCAAATTACGAAACTCTGCAGTTTTATAACTGCCTAGAAAGGGTCTCATCTCACTCGGCATCGGTCAATACAACCGATTCGAGTTAAGGGTTATACCAACATAATCCTGAGTTTATAAACTTAGCTTGTGAGGGCTAATAAACAAAGACTGGAGAAGTCAACGTGTGTGTACCACGTAGTGCCTCAAAACATAGAGCGATTTCAGCTGTGTGGTGCCGCAGAATGGAGAGCTTTTTGAGTGATTGTATTCGGAGTAAAATACAGAATTATGGCGGTTTGGGCAAGCGCTCTTTTGTTTGCACGTAAAGATTCAGGCCAGACCTGTGGATATGGTATGCACCGAGGCTCGGAGTGGCTTCTTAGATTCCTTGAAATGTAGATGAATATGACCTGCGTTGTCAGTTTGACCCAAAGCGACGATACTGACTGCCGTGGACACCATTTGTCCAGAATCATGGGTTAGTCATTGTACCACGTCTAGGACAATTTTTACTGAACTTATGGCCAAGCAGGTGGCTTGAAGTAAACTAGCTCCTTAAGGATTATTGGTTTTCGCTTTCTTATACTTCTCAGCAAAGCCATCTGGTTTATTTTCGGGAAGCGGGACACTTTTGAATGGCCCAAACGACCTATTCTTTGTAAGCGAGATGCTCCTGCTCGGTGAAGCACAACGTTAACAAGAGATCACTGATACTTTAATGGAAAATGTCTAGTTTGGGAGTGAAAGTAGCCCATGCTTCGGCAGCAGTGATCTGGTTTTAATTGGCATTTCGAGGAGAAACGTCTCAGTTCAGGATCAAAAGGACCTTAAGGATTAGTGAAGTACACTCAGTTGTACACCAGTTTGGTTTTGACGAGAGATTTACCTACAACCCATTTGAACCTCTCGTTCATGCTATTTTTAAGCAGCTGAATGTGTTACACAATGTCACCTCATGTTTCAGCTGGCACGATATTCGAGATAACGCGACACATGTATAGACGTAACACAATACTCATGGGGTCGCTAAAAACTCTTCGATAGCCCACGACCGGTCTAGCTCTTTTTAGGATCCATACGTAGGCGTTGTACCAGATTTTCCATTAACCCAATGTTACACTTGTCCATCATAAACGAGCGATGCAGCTTGGTTGAAAATGAATCTTCCGTCAAAAACAAATTGGTATGAAAATGAATGTATTTATGTATGTATGTATGTATTCGTGTAATTTGGGTTCAAGTAGAACATAAGACTGACGGAAACTTGGGAACTGCGCCTACCTGATGAGCCCTTAGAAAGACAAAGGTGGTTCTGGACTATCAAGGAGTTTTTAGTAACCTTATGAGTAGTGTATTACATCAGCACATGTAGGATACTTCCTTTTTGCTTAGATAACTCGCCTTGGATATAGTTGGTACTCCTAATCAATCAACTCATTTATCTACTGAGATGAAGTGAAATTCACCGATGCTTAATCATACGAAATTTCTATAGTTTTCCAGGGAAATATTTTCTTCTGTGTATTATACCGGCTTCATTTGTTATTAAGTTTGTACGCCTAAAGTCAGAAATACGGTTTTGTATTGCTCTGGACAGTACGAACGCTAGTCCAATTCACAGTGATTAGAATGTTCGACGAAATTCATTATTCGAGATGATTCCAAACTTCATACCAAACGTAGCACCGTGAATTAGATCAGTCTGCAGAAGTGAGCTAGTCCGCACTTAACCAGAATGTTCTGAGGCAAAAGACAGTGGGAAGATGTCCAGTGACGCTCAACCCATTCGAATATCTTCTGATGTCATTTTTGAATCTTAAGATAACATGAAAATAAGTTGCAATGGGTGAATTTCGCAAATTGTGCACACATTGTTGTTTAAGTAGAAAGGGAGGCCAATAAAAACTCGGGGACTATGCCTATCGAATGAGCTTCAAGAACGGCGGAATGGAGATGGTGTGTGCTGTCGAAGGGTTACCAGCTGCATAATTACTAAGTAATGTTAAGAAAATACACTTTGATATCTAAAGCCTGCTGCTAGATTAGACATGGTTGAAGAAGAGCACGTAGTTAACCCCAATGTGCTTTGCAGCTTAGTGTATTGGGAAGAAAGGTTCGCTGAGATGTTCTATTTAGATAGTACAGTAGCTAAGCTATTGAGATTTTGAAATTTGCTTAAGCTTGTTCTCCTCACCATCATAAATAACCTGGATTGATTATGGTTACGTATTGTACTGAGCCTTCTGCGTTTCAAGTCTGCACCAAAGACCCAATCGCATTTCACAACTCCTTCCATTTATAATGCTTACAGACCCTCAGACCAGAGGTGGGTAATTTTTATTGCAAACTATTGTGCAGGATCAACGATTCGGTGCGTATATGTGAATGTTCACAACGCAAAAGAAGAAATAAATGGGTAGACTGCTCAAAAATCACCCCACGAGATTGTGATGCAACGCTGAAAATCAGGGTGCATTGTGGCTTATTTTTATCTGGAAAGTCTGGCCAGTGAATCTGTACTAAAAACTGAGGAGTTGTTAAACTGTCCGTTCCAAAATGCAAATGAACTGAAGGGTAACCGAACGGTTACTTTAAATTCCGTATAAACAATGCTTAGGATTGTACACTCATTCTTCACCTGAGCAGTTAAAAGAAATCGCATTCTGCGTCTCATTGTCTCCATGAAGTGAGACAAACATTTCGGTTTGAATGAAAAAGCAAGAACGGTATTAGTACGAAAGGCTGGCGCTAAGGTAACATACAGACCCTGAGATCCCAAACAGTTCCAAAGCAGGTTAATTGCTAGTTGTGTTATTTGTAGTAGATTGGAAAACAGCTTGCAACTTCAGTGGCCTTTCAGGTGAAGCTGGTGAATAATTTCAGTGAACTTGAAAGTTCGAAGGCGTCCTGCTGATCTGTTGCAACTGCACTTTATAAGTGATGTTAGTTTGGCTGGTGATAACTCTACAAATTTTACAATGATGTGGTGCAGTTCTCACAGACTACTAAGCGCAGATGTGCAAGAATTTTGAATTCACAAGTGAAAACTCACTTGATTATGTAGATGAGTATCCAGTCTGATGTTAATTAGTTATACAAACCGCAGTGAGTGAAGACCACCAGAATGTTTGAACTGGCATTTCCTTAGTTGAGAGCATTATATAATCTTTGCATGACATGTCATGCCTAGTAAAGGTCATCAAG